TGAGCATCCGACTTCAGCTCAGGTCATGATCTAGCAGTCCGTGCGTTCAGGCCCCACATCAGGCTCACAGATGTCAGCCTGTCAGCATGGAGCCTGCTTCAGATCCGCTATCCCCCTCTCTCTGCCCCTCCCCGCTTGTGATCTCTCAAAAGAAATAAATAATAATTTAAAACTTTGTGTTTACAGGTTTTAAGCTTAGCTAGAGTATTTTTTATTGTTACAATCAAGAATAGAATCTTTTTTTTTTCACTTACATGTTTCTAAATAACAGCCATTTTTAAGAAGACCTGAGGTGAGAGGAATGACAGTGGAACTAATAGAAGAGCCAAGTGCAAAGGCCTGTGATTTAGAATTTTGCCTGCCATATTGAGAAAATAGCAAAGCAGTCAGAGGAACTGAGCAAGGAGAGAAGTGGGAAATAAAAGGAAATGTGGTCAGAGAGGCAATAGAGGTGACAGATGGTATAAAGCTTTTGTGTGCACCATTGCAAGAACTTTGGCTCTTATTCCTCATGAAATGACGAGCCTTTGGAGCATTTTGAGCTGAGGACTGGTAAGCCAAGGTTACACCTACTACTGTATTTTGATTAGTTGGAAGGAGGGGCAAGCAGGAAGACCAGTTAGAAGTTATTTAAGAAATTCATATAACAGGGGTGCCTGGGTGGCTCAGTCGGTTAAGCACCAGACTTTGACTCGGGTCATGATCTCACGGTTCATGAGTTTGAGCCCCACGTCAGGCTCTGTGCTGACAACTCAGAGCCTGGAGCCTGCTTTCGGATTCTATATCTCCACCTCTTTCTGCTCTCCCTCGGCCCCCCACCCCACTCTCAAAAATAAACAAACATTTTTAAAAAGTTTACAATTCATACGAAAACAGATACTGACTTAGATCAGGGTGATTGCAAATGAGATGGTATATAAAGCAATTGGATTCTAGATACATTTAGAAGATGGAGACCATAGGATTACATCATGATTGGATAATGGGGTTTCGTAAAAGAAGGGAGTTTAGGATGAGTCCAAAGATTTAGGACCGAGCAGCAAAAAATTGGGAAGAGTAGGAGTTCAGTTTTGAACTGAGGTGCCTATATAATAGCTGTGAAGGTATTGAGTGAGCAGTTAAATACACAAATAAAATTGTGTTAATTGGTTTACTAATATTGAATAATCTTGATATTCAGAAATCTCCACCTGGTCATTTATATTTGTTGTTTTCTTTAATTTCTCTCTCTTTTTTTTTTTAAGTATTAAAATACTCTTTTTTTTATGTTTATTTTATTCTTGAGAGAGACACAGGGACACAGAGAATCTGAAGCAGGCTCTGTACTGAGAGCAGAGAAGCCAGTGTGGGGCTTGAACTCATGAACCATGAGAATGGCCTGAGCAGAAGTCAGACGCTTAGCTGACTGAGCCACTCAGACGCCCCTTAAAATTTGTTTTCTTATTGTAAAATACACATTGTGATTAAAAAAAGAAAAACATAAATAGGTTCATGCATATAATTTAGCATCTTATTTATTTATGAATGTGGGTCTTTGTGTAGTTAATAAGCATATCTGTAGGGTAAATTCTAGCTGTGCATTTATGCAAAGCATGTGTGAATGAAGTAATTTTATTTTTTATTTTTTTAAATTTACATCCAAATTAGCATATAGTGCAACAATCATTTCAGGAGTAGATTCCTTAGTACCCCTTAACCCATTTAGCCCATTCCCTCTCCCACCCCCTCTCCAGTAACCTTCTGTTTGTTCTCCATATTTATGAGTCTCTTCTGTTTTGTCCCCCTCCCTGTTTTTATATTATATTTGTTTCCCTTCCCTTATGTTCATCTGTTTTGTCTTTTAAAGTCCTCATATGAGTGAAGTCATATGATTTTTGTCTTTCTAATTTCACTTCGCATAATACCCTCCAGTTCCATCCACGTAGTTGCAAATGGCAAGATTTCATTCTTTTCGATTGCTGAGTAATACTCCATTGTATATATATACCACATCTTCTTTATCCATTCATCCATCGATGGACATTTGGGCTCTTTCCATACTTTGGCTATTGTTGATAGTGCTGCTATAAAACATGGGGGTGCATGTGCCACTTCAAAACAGCAAACCTATATCCCTTGGATAAATACCTACTAGTGCAATTGCTGGGTCCTAGGGTAGTTCTATTTTTAGTTTTTTGAGGAACCTCCGTACTGTTTTCAGAGTCCAGAGTACTCACCCTTACACAGTGGTCCATACTGTTTTCCACAGTGGCTGCACCAGCTTGCATTCCCATGAATGAAGTAATTTTAAAGTTGTCCAAACCGTCCTTCAAAAGAGTTCAAAATTTATCTTTCAATAAATTGTATTAAAGATATTTTTTATACTTTTAGCTTGTGTTTATTAATATTTTACTTCGCAGGTTTTCGTTCAAAAGTGAGATTGCTGTTTAAATTACATATGTGCACAAAACTTTAGTCAAATTTTTGTTAGAATTTTATTTTTCTCAAAGGACAATAGAATTATGATTTCTTTATGTCAGTATCAGCCATTTTAATTGAATAGAAGATTGTCTCTTCTTTAATGTTCTTAAAGACTTCACCAAGGAAATACACTTGTCTGAGCCTCTACCTTTTTATAGGCATGAGTATGGTATTCCCTTGTTAGATGGAATACAAAAATATGTAACATTTGAATATTATAGAAATGCATAAGTGTGCACACATATTACATATACACACATGGTTTCCAGATTTTCACTTAACTAGTGCTTTTTTGAGTTCTTATACATATGCATTTATTCCTTTTTCTCTTCATTAATCCAGTCTTATAGTTAATCTGTCTGTTCCTGTCCACCTCACCCTTCAGGTGGATTTAGGAAGGAAGAAAAAAGGAAAGCTCCCAAAGAACAGCTCTTAAATTTGCTGTTTCTAGCATGTATTTCCTCTTTTGGCAATTTCAGCTTTGGTTTAATCTTTTAGTGTTACTTTGTTATCCTTGCTATATTCTTTTTACTCTATACCTCATCTGTTAGCTGTTGGTTGACTCAAGGGTGAACTGTAGCCATAAAATGAAATGTTCATTTTTCATATAGAGAGATAATTGGTGTTGTGTGTTAGTTTATGAGGGAAAAAACATACCTCCATTTTAAGATTTGTTATTTTGATTTTGGTATCTTTTTCTCATCTCTTTTTAATGTTTTAAGTTTTGGTACAATTTTTAGATCCTAACTAATTACCTAAATCCTCCCATTCATCCACAGTGTGGTGTGTGGTTTTTGTCTCTGCCAACATATACTCTCTCTCTTTACCTCTTTATCTCTTCCAAAAGCCAACCCTGATTAAACAGAGTGCAAGGGATATTTTTTCCCAAAACAGTACCAGTTAATGTTGTCTACACAGTAGTATCATGCTTGGTTGGTATGATTCCCTTTCAGTGGCATCTACAACTGCAGCTTATTAGAATTCTTTTACTTTCGTGCAAGTTACCCAGTCTGACCTTCACAGCCCCTTTTGTTGTTGTTTTTAAAAAAGTTTTTTTAATGCTTATTTCTGAGACAGAGACAGACACGAGTGGGGGAGGGGCAGAGAGAAAGAGAGAGAGAGACACAGAATTTGAAGCAGGCTCCAGACTCTGAGCTGCTAGCACACAGCCCGATGCGGGACACAGACTCCTCAACCATGAGATAATGACCTGAGCTGAAGTCAGACGCTCAACCGACTTAGCCACCCAAGTGCCCCCACAGCCCCTTCTTTGCATGCCACCCATCTACATGGTTGCAAGAAGGGGAGGCGGTTGGGGAATGTTGATGAAGACCGCATTGTTCTCATATTTATCTTTCTCCTATACATGTCTGTAAAGGCAAATAGCTTTCAAGAGATGTCTATGTAGTGACGCCTGAGTGACTGCGTAGGTTGAGCATCGACTTCAGCTCAGGTCATGATCTCATGGTTCACGGGTTCAAGCCCCGTGTTGGGCTTTGCACTGACAGCGAGGAGCCTGCTTCAGAGTCTCTGTCTCCCGCTCTCTCTGTGCCCCTCCCCTGCTTGTTCTCGTTCTCAAAAATAAACATTAAAAAAAAGAAAAAAAAGATGTTTGTCCTGAACCTAAATGCAGCTCTTACAGTTGTTACAGCCTTTTTGCTAACAGAATTTTGATGCTACCCTTGCTCAGAGCATCTCTTCTCATGGTGCTGTTCCACAGGCAAGTCCTTTTCTTCTAGGACTCTATGCTGCCCAGATGACTTTTCATAGATCACGATTTGGCATATGCTGGAGTTGTTCACCCTGACACGAGAGCCTAGGGATCCTGCATTCAGCATGACCTAAATTTTTCTCAGAGCGTAAAATTGTTTAACCCCCGCCTTTTAAAAACAGAATTAAGTCTTTTGAAGATTTAGATTTCATTTCGCTGTGGACTTAGCAGGAGAGGTTATTTCTTATCCTACCCACGTGTGTACAGAGGAAGTTTAATGGAAATAATTTTTGTCCCCGTGGATTTAATAATCTGACACAAAGACTCCGGGTGTCAACACTCACCATACCAAATTTATTTTCATTATTCAGGCACGAACTTTAAAACAGTAGGTCTTAGGTTGGGTTAAATAAAGTAGCTAATGAGTTCTGTGTAGTCCTGGAAAACTTGTCATTTGGTTTGAGACTACCTAAAGTCTTCAGAAGGAGTTGTGAAAAGCACAGGAGACTGTGTGATTGGTTATTCAGGCCCTTAGGTGGATGAAATTGCTGAAGAAAGCAAGTCATGTCCAGTAGCTTTAAGCTCACAAGTTTGGCACCTAGATGAGCACTTAGGGCTGCAAATAATTGGATTTCATCATTGAAGAAGAAACAAGTTCATTACTTTGAAGGGTTAGGGTGCAAAAAAGGGAATCTTCTAACAAACGAATCAAACTTCTGTTAGTAGTGTCATACAGGTATCTAGAAAGTGTCTTTTGAATCTTTGGGATAACGAGTGAGAGCTGGGTTTGTATCAGACAACGAATTGTGTTTTGTTTGGCTTTTCGCAGGTTCACCGGAACAGCACAATGCGCTCTGGCTGTGATGTGAACCCCTCCTGTGCGCTGTGTGGCTCAGGCAGCACCGTCACCGTGCCCCCAGAAATTCACTACGAAGCCCCTCTGTTGGAACGCCTTTCCCAATTGGACTCTTGTGTTCACCCAGTTCTAGCATTTCCAGATGGTAAGAAAGGCCACAGGATACAAAGTTTTCTTGAGACTTACAGGATTCAAGTGAAAGAAAGTCAGCCAACATCCTGGTACAACCCGCGTGCCATCCAGAGAATCCATTTCACTCACCAGAGTCCCTTAGAATTTTTGCAAATAGGGTGCAGCAGATGTGCCAGACCAGAATGTGCTACTAAAAGATTGCACCTTGCCAGGAGAGAGATTTCCCCCCAGCCTTTCAAGTGGCTGTGGGTGGGCCTAAGGACAGTTGCTTCCAGCCACAAGCAACCTGGTCCATTGTCTGTGTGTGCCATGGTGTAAGTAGGAAGGGCAGCACTCTTTTGAGAGAATGTCTTCCTACTGGGGCTGTATGTATCGCTGTGCTTACATGACTGGCTTTCCAGGGTGTGTGTACATAAAGAGAAGGAACCGTATTTTATCCCTACTCTGTCCTTCATAACACCCAAAGGTAGTCTGTACAAGTTTTTGAAAGGAGGGTAATTGAAATAGGAGTCTGAGGAATAAGAATTAGTGTGGGATTTTAAGATTTACTTGGTGGTATGAAAAAAAAAGAAGCATTTAGCACGAATGGTTTATAAACATTTACTTAAAGGGACAGATGCTAAATAATTTAGACTTTGCAGGACACACTTCCTCTGTATAACCTGGGTTGCAACTATATGACTGCCACTATAGCACAAAAGCAGCGTTGACAATATGTAAACAAATGGGCATGACTGTGTTTCAATAAAACTTTATTTATAAAAAATAAGCATGACTGATAGCTATCCTAGAGAATGCCCTCTTCTATTTAATAGTTGGTCAAACATTGGTTTACTATAATCCCCTTTTCTTTATGTGTTCTTCAAATGACTGAATTATTTTTTGGCTACCTAAATCCTGTAACTACTCCAGGCCATGTTATCAGAACTCCCTTGACTGTAAGGGCATGATCTAATATTCCTGTTGCGATAGGACTTCTAATAAGAGTAGAAATGTTTAGAAAACTTGAATCATATGGCTTGCAAGCTAGGCAGGGTTTTATTTAGGTCAGGAGTGGTAGAGCAGTAAATAAACTTTAGCACACAGTGAGTAGAAAACACTAACACGTCTTCCTGTGTACTTCAGATTCCAGGGTCATTGGCTTTTACCTTCTCTTGCATTTGGATTATAGCTCGTGTAACTGGAGATTTTATTTGTATAGCATTTTATGGTTTACAAAGCACCTTTCTCATACTAGTTTTATCTGCTTCTCACACTAATCCTGTAAGGTGTTAACTTCAGTTTGAGAGATCAAGAAACAGGCTTAGAAAGGTTGTACTTTTTCAGACTAAATGGCTAATGAGTTTAGATGGTTCTAGAATTCAAACTTGGGTCATCTGTTGCCTGTCCTTTGTTTCACTATGTAACATGCTTCTTCCTAGCTGGGTTATTAAGAGAAATCAGGTTTCTACCCATTTCTAGATTGTAACTGCAGACAGAGCCACCAGGAAGACCTAGGAATGTTTCTTGGGTTACTGTCTCAGGATTCACAGTACTGAATTGTATTGTCTCATATTTGAATAAGGAAGCCTGAAGTCAATAGTTATATTATGGTTCCGATTAGGCCTCTTCCATACTCCCTGCATACCAGCTTATAAACATGGTGATCTTTTCTTTGTCAACAGTATTACCATATACAGTTGTGAATTTCCTTCCCATCCCCCAATCACATGTACTCAATTGTGTGATGTCTCCTGTTCAGTCAACATCTCTACTTGGAGGAACCCATTCCCTTTCAACACTTTCTTTTCCTTCTGACTGGTTCATATCTATAGATCTGAGTGCTGCCCTTACACTTCCTACTCCATCCCATTTCAAACAACTGGAGGTAGCATTGAGGGAGAAAGACCTTTCTCTGGTTTTTAGCATCTTCGCTTTCCTGCCTGCCTTTAAATGCTTTTTCGATCTCTTTTTCTCCCTGTCTCACACAACTCCTAACCATGACATTGGAGTTTAGACAAGAGAGATAGTCATTAAATCTCCTTAGGAGCCTGTAAAGAGGATGTGTGAACATATTTGCCTATGGATGAATTAGACTTTCTGTGGGTTGACCTGGGGAACTCTGTTAGCATTTCTAATATTGTTCCTGTTGGGATATTTTTGCTTTGATCCAAACAAATAGCATGGTAAGGTTTTCAGGGCCACAGATATGCCCAACTCTAAAGGGCACCATTATTCTATGTGAAGCACCTCCAAGATTCCCCATATATCATTGTGTAGAATAATAAGTAACTGTGAAGACTTAGCAGCCGGCCTAATACTGTGAGGGTCAAACATACATGCACCAGACCTGACCTCTGGGCCACCCTTTTACAGCCTGTTGTCTAGAAGCTAGAAGATGGCAGGCTTTTCAAGCAGTCTTACTAATGTTTCCACACCAGTTTCTTTGTAGTTAGGTTGGGAACCACCTGCACCTCTTCATTTTAGACTTGTCTCCCTTGTTGACCACACCTCCAACATTCCCATTAAGTGTGGTTAGGGATGATAGAATTCTTGTCACCCCACTTAATCAAGCCAGTTAATCCTTAGCTTGAAATGTAGAGGATGTACAAACCCTTGGAGGAAAGAATGTTAACTTGAGTTTGGGCTTCATAAGAGCACCACCTGCTGGCCAGATGATCTGTGCTGTTGTGAGAGAGCTTACTAAGACTCTATGTACAAGGCTACCGCAGTTTTACCAGCAGGAGGAGGAAGGGAGTATTACAAAACAACCCTAGAAAATGTGCTTGAGAAAATGGTGGATAGTAATGAGCAAAACAGTTAAGTGAATCCTGGAATGTCAGACCCTGGTGAGAGTAAAGTCAAAGTCTTTTTATTTTGTCTGAGGAAATAGTAGCTTAAAATGGTATTCGTTTCCTTCTATTTCTTATTTCCTGTCTTAACACTTCTGTTTTCCTGTTGTTGTTGACCTAATCAAGTATCTGCACCCTCTTCTCTTCATCACAGAAGAATTACCTGTACAGGTACAAAATGTGTGAAGTCCTCTGGCCAAATGAGTCCCTGTTGTATTCTCTTCTGTTTCATACCCTTTCCTTGCTCACTTTCGGGTCCTGCATATCTAATCCATTTCAGGGCTTCAGCTTTACGTGGATCCCAGGTGTTGTTACTTAACCACTTAGAGCATGAACTAAGACCATCAATCCCTAAGAGATCATTTTTGTTCATTGACTGGGGGATTTAACTGACTTCCTGTTCACTCTTACATGAAAGCAGTTAACACACAGTAAACTTCTAGCAAAGTATAGCAGCCTGAGTCCTTCCAGCAGTTTGTTGTTATCCCTAACTGCCCATGCAGTGGGGTTGGTTATAGGGGAAATTGCTCTCGATTCTGCTTAATACTTCAACTCTGGGGCTCAGATTGGTATTCTCCCATTGCAGCAGCTTCTACTTCAGAGCATTTAAGTGAGGGAAGGGGATTAGGTGTGGAACTGAAGTGTCTGACATAACATGTTAAGAGCTGAGAGACTCTGGGGGCGCCTGGGTGGCTCAGTTGGTTAAGTATCTGACTTCGGCTCGGGTCATGATCTCACGGTTCCTGAGATCGAGCCCTGCACTGGGCTCTGTGCTGACAGCCTGGAGCCTGCCTCAGATTCTGTGTCTCCCTCTCTCTTTGCCCCTCCCTGGCTCACGTGCTCGCTCACTTGCTCGCTCGCTCTCTCTGTCGCGTTCTCTCAAAAATGAATAAACACTAAAAAAAAAAAAAAAACAAAACGTAGTCATTCTGGTCTAGCGGTAACAAATTCCTCTCCTGTGCTTACTCAAATGGATTCATAGCAGTTTTCTGGGTTTAACTAAGTCATTTTTTGAGACGGATCTGAGGTCTTGGGATACAGTAGGAAAGAGTATTCTGATTGTTTAGCTTTTGTCTGCAGCAGAGGAGGGGAGAGCTAGAGCATGTGTGCTGGGATGTCACCTGCCCGGCTCTAGGCCTGCTGCCCCTTCTCACAGATGAAGCTAAATGCAGCCAAGTGGTAGGTTCTTGTTTTTGCCTTCTAACTCGGTGTTGGAATTAGGACCTGACTCCAGGCCTGCTTATTTCCAGTCTGTTGCTGTTTGCATTATAAATCAGGTTGCTCGTTTCCCTACCTCCTTTTATCCTGGCTTAATTTTCAGGTTTGGGAGAGCAATGACTGGGGAAAGTAAAAGGAAAAAATGAAATCACAAGGCTTTTGTTGTCCCATCATATAGACTTTGCCAATTCTTCTGTTGACAAAGGGGTGTCCTGGGATATAGAGGAAGTGTTTTCCCCTTTCTGGGGCCTTTATGCATTCCAGTTCAGCTCAGCTTTCAGAATGCCTCTAGACAATGCTTTATTTCCTACACACCCTTTTCCCTAACCATTCTGAATTAGAGTAAAAAATATTTGCCACTATTACCTTAACTCAGTTCTTGATTGTTTATTAATAGGAAATTCTTTTGTTTAAACATTTGACCTTTTTGGGGAAGGCAGGGGGAATCAAACCATTTTATTGAGGGGCTTGAGGGAGGAGTGGAAGGGCTGGGAACACCATGAGAGCCAATGTCCTTGGCCTGGTTGGGATCTTCCCAACTTTGAAATTGCTGAAAGCTGATCTGTGTCTTTTAACGGTTGGAGTAGGTGAATTTTTAAGTGTGGGAAAGAATGATTATGCAAAAAAGTTTCAGAAGACAGCACTGTCCTCACAGACTGTATCTCATTACTTGGACGTATAGCAAATATTTATTATCTTTAAAAACTTCAGTAGTTTTCCTAATCTGTTTGGCTGCTATTAGCACATTCCACCTCAGAATTAAATCTCTCCATTCCCTGGGCCAAAGAATAGTCTCATGGTGTAGTGGCTAAGATTGTGGGCTTTAGGGTTATACAAACCTAAGTTTGAATGTTGGTTAACTAATACTAAAGTGTGTAACCTTGAACAGTTAATTCACCTTTCTGAACCTGTTTTGTCTTTTAAAAAGGAGCTTAACGGTGCTTACATCAAAATGAAATACATATTTTAAATTAACTCTTAGGTATAAGACCTCTAAAATGAAAACTGCCAAACCCTGCTGAGAGAGAATTAAAGAAAACTAAATAGATAGATACACCACATTGATGGCTTGAAAGGCTTGGAATTGATGGCAGACAGAAGGCATTTCTCCCCAAATTGACCTATAGAGTCAGTGTAATACCACAATGAGGTTTTTTGTTTTTGGGGTTTTTTTGCAAAGCTTAAAAGAAAAAGCGACTGCCTACTATTCAGGAAGAATAAGATTCCATCTTGTCTGCAACACTGGGTGTTAGGATATAGTGAAGTAATAGCTTTAAAGGTCTGAGAGAAAAATGGTTTTAGTTCTGGAAATATTTTTTCTAAAGAAATTACTCAAAGCCCCATTGTTAGGAAAATAAATGAAACTAAGAAAACGGAAAGGTATGAGAAATGGTGAATCAGAAAATGGTAAAAAATCACAGTTAAGCTTAAGAGATTTATGATACTGAATATTAACTAATCAGGTAAAAAAATAGATCATCCCTAGGTGAGGGGTGAGGAGCTAGGGAGGAAGGAGGGTATAGTACTCAGCAGACAATAAATATTTCTTGAATGAATATGTCCTGAATAACTGTGTTGGTAGGGTCAGGCTTTAATGTTTTAGTCTCCAGGAGGGTAGAAACGGGATGCTTATCAGTCTTTCACACCAGTAGTTTAACAAACTTAGCAGAGTACGTGAACAAGGAAAACTCCATCCATGTAACAGAAGGTGTTTTAGATGGGGTGTTCGTTTAACATGAAAATAAAAGGCAAAAGTGACTTGCTTGTGAGGAAAAGAAACAACCTTCAGTAAAGTTCCGATCAACAGACCTTCCATATGACAGTGCTTTTGCCCCGCTGGGTCATCGTGCCACTCGGCACGTAAAGGAAGGGTGTGCTGTAGATCCCCGCCCACTGGAGAGCCAAGGGTACTGGTGAACACACCTCTCTTCTTGAGAGAGGAGCCCAGAGGCCAGGTGTCTGGACTAACCCGCAGTGTTTCGTGTTCCTTACAGATGTTCCCACAAGCCTGCACTTCCAGAGCATGCTGAAATCTCAGTGGCAGAACAAGCCTTTTGACAAAATCAAACCTCCCAAAAAGTTTTCACTTAAGCACAGAGCACCCATGCCAGGCAGCCTGCCAGATCCAACTCGTAAAGACAGGCACAAGTTGGTCAACTCCTTCCTAACAACAGCCAGTAAGTTTCAGAGGACCAGAGAGTCTTCCTCCAGTTACTTCTCTATTCCTTTTATATTCTTTTATAAAGAATGACTTTATAATTCTTTATAAACGTTACTGTTTTGCTATGGCAGTGTGTCGGGGTTGGGAGAGGCAATTGACCGATACAAATTCAGCTCACAGTCTACTTCTGCCTGTCTCGGATGTTCTCAGATGGACTCTGAAAGCTATTCCAGACACCATGCATCTCGGGACAGGACCCAGAGTGCTCGAGGAACAGCTAGCAGTGGCATGGCATTGGGTCCATGTGTGGGCAGGCCGTCTTCTGTAGCTGGTGTCAGATTTCTCTGGTTGAGGGCCCTGTGGGCTGCCTGGCCTATCCTGGCCATTGTGCTGTTTGCTAGAAGCTTCGGTCCCAGAGGACTCTCCTGCTGCCCTGAGTGTCCATCATTGGCCTAGAGAGAACTCAAGAGCTTGGAACTCAAATAAGAAAAGATTGAGAGAAGATTTCACAGCTCTTTTTCTGTTCCCCTCTTCAGAGCTGTCCCATCACCAAACCCGGCCTGACAGGACCCACAGGCAGCACTTAGACGATGTGGGGGCCGTGCCTATGGTGGAGCGAGTGACAGCGCCCAAAGCAGAGCGCTTGCTCAACCCACCGCCACCTGTGCATGACCCAAACCACAGCAAAATGAGATTGCGAGACCATTCATCTGAGAGAAGTGAAGGTAGGGCCAGGCCCGGCACCTCTACCTGCATTTGCATCTGCTCAGGGCTTTCTGGGGCAGCCTGGGCATCTCTCAATTGCCCCCAGCTTTGTCCTTCACTTTCTAGGAAGGCAGAGTAGAGGGACCCTACTGCTTCTAAGTGCAGGTCACTTCTTACTGCTACAGCAACCTCTGCCCGGTCCCCTACCTCCCGTCAACCAGTTTGCTTCATCTTTTTATCCTCTAGGCTTAGAATGCATTTTTGCTTTTATGAATTGCTGGCATTTGTAACTTGTGCTAGAAGTAGAGCCGTTTGAGGTAGCCACGTATTCCTTTTTTGTTGACTTCTGCAGTGTTGAAGCATCACACGGACATGAGCAGTTCCAACTACTTGGCGGCCACCCAACATCCACCGCACAGTCCCCTGGTGCGACAGCTCTCCACCTCATCGGACACCTCGGCACCCACCAGCTCTAGCCCACAGGTTACGGCCAGCACGTCTGTAAGTACCTTGGGCTCGGCTGCACAGTCCCTCCGCAGCCACGGTTCACCGAGTGGCTGGCTCTGGAGGACAAGGTAGAAGGTGGGATTTGGGGGGAACTCGGCTCGCCGTGATGTGCCATTTTTTGTCACAGTAGTGGTATTTGACCTGTTTTCCTTGAGTTGTTTCTCATAGTAGGAAGCTTGATGCTGAGACAGACTCTGAAGGCGGTCTGGGCCTGTTCCAGGTCTGTGGGGCTGGGTTTCAGATGGGACTCCGCCGGGCCGCGGCTCTAATCCTGTGGGTCCGAGAAGTTCCCACGAGAGGAGGAATGGAGGACAGACACTTAGGAGCGTTGGAGGCACTTCATTTCCTTGTTTTCGTTATGCTGGGGGGCAGGGGGAGCTGGAGCGCTGAGAACCAGCCCTGACGTTAGGGTTCCTGGAAGGGAGGGAGAAGGCAGAGCCTCGCTTCTCAGGCCCCAGAGCGGAACTACAGGTGCAGTGGGCCCTGCCTGCAGTACTTCCTATGGTGCGCGCAGGGCGGCGGGCAGCTCTTCTGGTGCCACGCTCTGTCCTGAGTGCTGCTCACACGGCCGTTGCAGACACGGTCCCGCTGATTGCTTTCTGATACTTGACTTCCTCGGTGTGGGCCTCCTGGAACACATGCACCTGTAGTTGCTCTGTGCCTGCTGAAGGGCCCTTTAGGTGGTAGTTACAATAGCAGTGGTGATAGTAATAATAAAATGCTCCAACTACGACGTTTATTGTGTCAGTTCTGCCTGCTTTACCTGTGTTACCTCATTCAGTTCTGATCGTGCCCTTTGAGATGTAAGTGGTATTGAGGATTCTCATTTTGTAGGCAGGGAAACTGAGGCTCTCTAAGGTTAATAAGTAAATTGCATAAAGTGAGGCAACTTGTGAGGCTTACAAATGCAGTTCAAACCGAGGCAGTCTGACCGCTCAGCCAGCTCTTAAGTGCAAGCCTGAGGCCAGGCGTCGCGGAGGTCCCCTGTGTGGGTGCTTTGGATCCCCTTTAGAGTAGACATCAAGAAACTCCCAAGCCCACAAAACGGGCTCCTGTTGTTCTGTCTTTGCTCTTAAAAGTCAGACAATCTTTTCCGAATGACCTCTTCGTTCCTCCCTTCTTCACCTCCTACACCCACAAGTTTTGTCTAAATAGGTATGTGGTATCTTAACCACGAACTCCATTATCCTTCAGAGGGTCTCAGACAACCAGAGGATTTCAAAGACAGAGAGTCTGTCTCTGATTCTCAAGTTTGAACTCTTGACCAGTTCTTGGGGGGACTTCAGTGTTCACTCACCCGGCCAGCCCTCCTGTGTCTGGAGGATGTTAACTTAGGCCTGGATCACTTGACAGTTTTTCTTCTTATTGAGTACACATTTTGTATCTGTGCTCACCCTTAAGGCTGTCACTGCCAAATGTTTTCAAAGAATATGGATTTATTTGTAGTAAGAAGAATAGTAGGCCAGATCCTGAAAATGAGGTAGAGAAGCTAGACGACACTGGAGAAAGTTGGGGGCGGGGAGGGCTGGGGTAGGTACGGCGGGCTTTCCAAAAGCCGGTGTATACCTCAGTATCACCTCAGTGGTCAAAAAAGAGGAAATCTCTGAAGATTCTGATTTGATAGAGGAGGGGCCCCAGACCCGCATCCCCCTTTTTGCCTGGTAACGCACTCCTCCTCCTTGCTTCTGAGGAACCACTTTCCATCCCCATCACCCGTTCTGCACCACTGGCTCTAAACGGGAGACAGTAGTTAAGTCAGACCAAGTGAGTGCCTGGCGGAGGAGGGCACTCAAACCTATTGAACCATTTTTGTTTTTTCATAGTAGAAAGCTTGATAACAAGACAGACTCCGAGGGTGCTGTCTTGGGCCCACTCCCATATCTTTCCCTTGAAGCTACTAATAACAGGCCCACAAGATTCAGGGAATATACACACCTGTTTCCACCAGCTTCACATTCATTCTTGACCAAGATTTAGGGAAAACAATCTCTTGAGGCTTCCTTAAGGTACACTTCTTGTAGTGGGAAGTGTAATTTTAAAAGAGATGGGACAGTGGCAGAGGGTTTTGGGCATGAAGTCACTAATCCTTAGCTGCAGAACTCAGCCAGGCAAGATTTACAAAAGTCTTTGAACATCCTGGTTAACCAGTTACCCTAAATTTGTGAGGCAGATGACAGTTTGTTCTCATTTGATAGAGAAGGATGTTGAGGTGAAAAGACATCGTGGTAACCTGAGATCATAGGTGACCGCAGCCAAAATCCTGGCGCGGAAAACACTGCCTTTAACCACATTCTCCGAATGTCCCGAGATGATGGGATGAATCCATCCTGTATCGCCCTCCAGGAACAGAGTAGTAGACGGGTTAGTTGTAGGGAACAGCTTCTTCCGCATCTTGCTGTTCGCTAACCCCTTCCCTCTGAGCTGACCACACTTGGGGCTTGGGTTTGAGTGCAGCCTCTCGGGTGTTTCCAGCTGTATTGTCACCATGGCAGCATGTGTGGCATCCTGCCGTTTGCCTCCGGCCCCTCTCGGCTGCCGGTGTCTGTTTCAGGGTGGGGTGTTTGTTATCTGGGCCCAAGCAGCTGGTGGACTTTTTCCTCCATGGAAGAAACCAGGTTTTCCGTCTCCCTGCTTTACTCCTGCTCTGGCCTCCGGGCTGCTGTGGGTGCCCACCTCCTCCTCTGATAGTGGATCCTTGTTAGTCTTCTTTCTTCCTGAGAGTTTGATCTTTTCAGCCTCCTGGAGAAGCAAATCTCCATTCTCCCAAGAAACTGTGGAGCCAGGTCCTCTTCCTGCATTTTCCTCCATTCAGCTCCACTGGTAGAGCTAGAAAGCTCTCCACCCTTCCCCAAGAATAACAGCCAGAAAGAGGGGGAAATCACATAGGCTGAGCACATGGTGGGTACACACTTAGCTGAAGAGTTCAAGATCTATAAGGAGGAAGGGCTATCGTGATGTCCAAGGTTAGAGGATCTGTTGAGCTGGACCTGTCCTCTGAGGTCTTTTCCCGATAAGGGAACTCGCATTTCTAACCTGAAGAGTCCTCACTAGGCCCAGTTAAGCATTAGGAGCCACTATGGGTCTGAGTGACAGATAAACGGGGGAAACAGAAAGGATGACTTTAAAGGAAGGGGATAAAGGTGTATACAGAGGAGTCAGAACCTCAGCACTAGGTTCGAGGCCCCAGGATGCCCACCCTGTAAAATTCAGCTGAAGTCTTTTTCCGCGTGAGCCCATAAAGGAAGAGGGTGACCAGTGAGACTTGTGAGCTGGAGGTGCTCCTCAGGGCCACCTCGCATTTCTCCTGAGGACCTTGTAGTGGCAGATCACCTCCTTGATGTAGACGGTGGCTGCTGCAGGGCCGGCCCCCACCCAAGGACCAGGTGCCTGGGGGCTGGTGATCCAGTAATGTTTGAAGTCTTAGGTGTATGATTTGCTGTTTGCAAAATTGCGCCTCCCTTTTAAACTTACCTTCGTCTTACAGCAGCCAGTGAGGAGGAGAAGGGGAGAGAGCTCATTCGACATTAACAACATTGTCATCCCGATGTCTGTTGCTGCAACAACTCGTGTAGAGAAACTACAATACAAGGAAATCCTTACCCCCAGGTAGGGGCCCTAGATAATTGGCTCCTCTCCCTCTTCTTCCTGTTCTTGGCCTTTTCCCCTTTTTGTCACAGACCTTGGGGTTCTAGCCTTAGGTTTTGCCTTCTCCTTAAGAGAAAGTCTTAACCTGATAGGAGTGAAATTGTTTCTATATACAGTTCTCTATTATATGAGCACCAGCCAGACCACAGGCCACAAACTGGCTGCAGCTATGTTTGTTTGACAGCACTGAGGAGTTCGTTGTCGGCATCAAAGCAGGATTTCACGTATGAATCTTTGTTTCTAGCCTTTGTTGACAACTCAGAAATTGGGCAGCCCCGTACAGGCACTCTCACAGAGTGGCAGTCAGCTGGGACTGAATAGCGGTGGTCCCCTCTAAACAGTCCCTTTGCTTGAGTTTGTCACAGTCTCCCAGCCTGTGTCCTGTTGGGGCATTGGAGTGTGGAGCCTCTTTCAGAGGCCTTGGGGGCTACCAAGGCCGAGCCGTGAGAGGGCAGGGTCGTTCACAGGTGCCCAGCTCTCGTTCTTTGCACAGACACACTAATTCTGCCCCGGTTGCCTAGCCCTCACAATTGTCCCTTCTTGATTTTGCAGCTGGCGGGAGGTCGATCTTCGGTCTCTGAAGGGGAGTCCTGACGAGGAGAATGAGGAGGTAACAGCATGGTCATTCTCTGTTAGGAGATGCGCGCGCGCACGCACACACACGCACGCGCACACACACACACACACACACACACACACACACACACACACACACACGTGCACACATCCCAAGTGCCTCAAGACCCATGGGTGTCAAGTGCAAGCGCATTGCATTCCTGTCCGGATGGGGAAGAGCCTAGTAAGGGCTGGGGCTTGTTCTAGAATTGATCCACCCATACTTAAACTCGGCTTGCTGGAGGGGAGAGGGGATCAGTGAAGCTTTTCTCTCGCAGGTCGAGGATCTATCTGATGCAGCCTTCGCCGCCTTACATGCCAAGTGTGAGGAGATGGAGAGGGCTCGGTGGTTGTGGACCACGAGTGTGCCACCCCAGCGGCGGGGCAGCAGGTGATGGGGCAGGCTCAGGTGGCCAGGCCTGTGAAGGGAGGGTGGGCAGGGAGTTGGCCGCTGTGTCTGTGGAACTGCCACTGCCCCACAGGCGCTCTGCATACTCCTCCACTGGCAGTGGCCCTGAGCGCAGAAGTTCCTGGTGTTTGGTGGAACTGATGAGGGCACGTGGTCCCGTAGCTGGGTCCTTGCTGAGTTCTGGATGACTGTCCAGTTGTGGCAAGCTTTCATGCTCTCCTGGGCTCCGGGCGCCAGCTGTCTGTGGCATTAGGATCGCATCGCTTCTCGGCCTTTTGGCTAAGACCAAGTGTAGTGTCTGTGGCATGAGGAGGCCATTTGCGGGTCGTGGTGATTTAACCAGGGGAGCTTTGGAGGCCTCACCCAGGGTAACCTTCCTTAGGACAGTGGAACGGGGGGTGGTGGTCGTGCATAAAAGAACTGACCCATCCTGTCTCCATTTATTGTAACAGTGGCAGAAGCCCTCAGGATTCTCAAGTAGAAAGATTTAGGGCTCTTGTTTTTGCCTTTTTTCCCTTGACTACAGTTTTCAAAGTCTAGACTGCTTTCCCTTTCCTGGGAATTCACTGGGCACTGTGCCAGAGAGTAGCCCCTGGCATTGTTCAGCCGTGGCCTTCTCTTGGGATGATGGGCACACAGGGCTCTTACGACTGTCCTGTGTGCCCCCTCCGCCCACCCCGCCCCCTACATGGTGGTGGCAGGAAACGAGAGGACGTGTGGTTTCTGGGAAAGAACCGTTGGGTGTCCATCTCCCTCGGCTCCTCTGGTTGGGATGCCCTTTTCACGCCTCCTCCCCATCCGCCCAAGATAGAGCGTCATCCCCCATTGCCCAGGCACTCAGATTTGCACCCGTTGGTGTACAGGTCTTACAGGTCATCAGATGGCCGGACGACCCCTCAGCTGGGCAGTGCCAACCCCTCCACCCCCCAGCCCGCCTCCCCTGATGTCAGTAGTAGCCACTCTTTGTCGGAGTTCTCCCACGGTCAGTCCCCAAGGAGCCCCATTAGCCCGGAACTGCACTCGGCGCCCCTCACCCCTGTGGCTCGGGATGCTCTACGACACCTGGCCAGTGAAGACACCCGCTGTTCCACACCGGAGCTGGGGCTGGATGAACAGGTGAGGGACGCACGGCCTTTGTGTGGGGGTTGGCAGGGTGGGGGGATAGAGCAGGGGAGGGGGACAGCCCCTGCTAAAGATGGGTTTGCGTCATAGGACTCCCCTCCCCATTTTATTTTACTTTTATTTTATTTATTTATTTTTACTCCCCTCCCCGTTTTATTTTTTTTTTTTTAATTTTTTTTCAACGTTTTTTATTTATTTTTGGGACAGAGAGAGGCAGAGCATGAACGGGGGAGGGGCAGAGAGAGAGGGAGACACAGAATCGGAAACAGGCTCCAGGCTCCGAGCCATCAGCCCAGAGCCTGATGCGGGGCTCGAACTCACGGACCGCGAGATCGTGACCTGGCTGAAGTCGGACGCTTAACCGACTGCGCCACCCAGGCGCCCCTCCCCTCCCCATTTTAAAGGGGACAAGGGGCTGCACTTGAAATCGATCTTCTGAAGGTGCCATGGAACTGCCGGCTCTGTAAGGGCTCTTCCTGGACCGCTCCAGGAAGTTTGGAGATGGGTCATGGACTTGAATCCACGCGTCTCGGGCCAGGGCCTTGGGGCGGAACGTAGTCTGGAACCAGCTTCTCACCATGACGGTTTGTCTCCCCACAGTCCGTCCAGCCGTGGGAACGGCGAACCTTCCCCTTGGCATACAGTCCCCAGACGGAGTGTGAGGACCAACTGGATGCACAGGAACGGGCAGCCCGCTGTACTCGGCGCACCTCAGGCAGCAAGACTGGCCGAGAGGCAGAGGTGGCCCCCACCTCGCCCCCCGTTGTCCCCCTCAAGAGTCGGCATTTGGCGACAACAGTCACAGCTCAGCGTCCAACTCACAGATGAGCGGGATACGAGAATCTAAACAGACTCACTAACTATTGGCATTAAAGCTTCAGAAATCTCTGCGTTTGATATTCAAACATCATATGCCGGAAATTTTCACAGTTTTTAGTGAATTTAAGGAATTTAGATTCTACTTTGGTATTTTTGTTTTGTTTTGATTTTTGTTTTGTTTGGTTTTGGTTTCCATGTTTTGTTGTCACACACCTGAGCACTTCCTCCAGTTGGCAAACAGAAGTTCAGGATAAGACCCTGCTGGCCTGGTCCTGGCACATCCTCCGCACTGTTGAATCACTGGACTTAGCGATGTTAGGTGACCACCCCCCCCCCCCCCCCCCCCCCCCCCCCCCCCCCCGCCCCCGCCCCGCACCTGTGGACAGGGTGGGACAGCCACATGGGCAGAGGGAATGGCAAGCTCCCCACTCAGCGTTGCCGCCTGAGGTCAGGGTAGGGGGAGAACAGCACACTCTGGACTCTCACCCTTTCTCCTCTCCTCTCCTCCCATCGGCAGCCCGGCCCAGCTCTGGCCCTCCTGGCCGGGTCCCCCTTGGCCATAACCGCCACCTGTTCCGAACTCTCAGTCGACAGAACGGCTTCCCTTTGTCATCCGGATCTTGGAGACCTAGTCTGGGTTTCCGCTGCGTTTGGTCCTCTCTGTTTTGACTCCTCCACTGCAGTAACGTGACTGCGGCTGCTCAGGTCCCTGCCCCGCCCCTTGCACTCCCTCTCTGCTCCCCGATGCCACCCGCGCACCCACACACACCAGGCCTTCCACCGGGATGTTTTTACCAACTGTGTCCCCCGTCTGTGAAGGTGGGGTTAGGGCTACTTCCATTCCCACTCCTCTGCAAACTGGGGGGTCAGGGACGCGAGCAGTCATCTCCCCTCTAGGATTCTGTCGTCGTGGATTCATTTGGTCCCATTTCCCCCACACGCACTTCCCTGTTGGTGTCCAGCCTTTCCTCTCCCATGCTCCCCTTGCCTGTGGAACGTTGTCTGGTCCTAGCTGTGGTTCCCATCACTCCCTCATCACCCCCCTTGGTCAACCTCGTGCCTGTCTCATGTATGATCACATCACCAAAAGGGGGGGGCAATAAGAACTTCTTTATTTTTATTTTTATTTTTTTTTGTTGCCATTTTGTAATCGTATAAAATAGTAGACAAACTGCTTAATGGTTGGGGTTTTTTCACAATTTTCAACATTAGTGATTTTTTTTGATTCTGTTTGCAAGTTAAAGGGTTTGTCATTGTTTCTTTAAAAACAATAATGCACCATATCCCTATGCATAAAGTGCTTCTTCTATTTATAAGGTTGAAAATTCTGAATAACCCTTTTAGCATTGTTAAAAAAAAAAAACAAAAACAAAAATGGAAAAAAAAAAACCTTGTATTTTGTAAATATTTTCTTTTCCTGCTTTGAGCTGTGTATTGGCAGCGAAACATGTAGCTGTCTTTGTTCTATAGAAATGCTTTTCTTCAGAGAAGCTGATCTTTGTTAATGTCTTGATTCTGTTCGCAAAGCACAGACTAGTGCTTAAAAAAAAAAAAGGAAGGAAAAATTGAAAAAAATAAAAAAAAAAGTTACAGAACGTTGTGTTGCCAGGCCTTTGTTGACATTGGACCGGGTCCACGTCGGGGGTGGCAGCTTAGGACCCTGTCCCACTGGAGCAGTTAGTTCTCTGGGTCCCTGGACTTGCTCTGAACCTTGGGAAGTCTCCGTTCCGTCCTTGGGCACCTGGCAGGGCCACCTGATGGTCACCAGGGAAAGGATGGAGTCGGGGTGGGGGGGCAGTAAGGGGTGCCCAGGGTATAGGGGGCTCTGTGTAGATAAATTTTTTGTTGGGTGTAAGCAATTGGTCATTGCCTCTTGATGTTCCTTCTCTAGTGAGGCCAGCAGTATGACATCTTAGAACTGTTCTGAATTGCTCTCAGGGAGATCCCACCTCTCACCGCTTTTTCTGGGGTTGGGGTCAGTGAGAATGTACATACTTCGTAGCATCGTTCTTCTGAGGAGCCTACGGGCTGGGTTTTGTATGTACGAGAGAAAGACGCCGGCAGGCCTCATTCCCTTTTTCCACGGTAGTCATCTGGCGATGAGCGCCGAGTCGTGAGGGAGCCTTCTCTCTGGCCGCCCTGTTCCTGCGTCTGTGGCTGCACTTAAGACCTTCTCTGCTTAAGCTTCTGCCCGCAGTGGCTGGAGTGAGCACAAGGGGGAAAGCGGAGAAAACCGGTATTTTGAAACTTTGTATGAAAATTGAAGGGCTCCTTCTTAGGACCTTGACCTAATTACTAAAGAACAGGAATTAATATGGCTAGTGTTTGGTATTTGTTTTCTTTGTGGCATTGCTAGGGGCTATCTGCTATCTCCGCGTAGCGGACTCCTTCCCCAATCTAATGAGGACCCGAAGGAGAGAGGAATGCGGCTCCGGAAGCCTGGAAGGAATCTAAGCCTTGGCGGGCCTAGTGTTCTGCTCCAGCCCCGGGCCTCTGGGAGCAAACGAGATCTCCTACACCCGCTGCAGCCGTGGCCCCTCTGAATATGCCGGTGTGGGTCTTAACAGACTCTGGAGTTGGGAGTGCAGCCTTGTAAGCCCACCTACAAGGGTACTGGCCTTTCTTTGAGTTGGATCCGGTCGGACTCCCAGCACCAGAATCAGAATCGAGTGAAAATGAACGAGTCTTGAGAACTCTTCCTGCACCTGCAGGCCCCAGAGAGAGATTTTAGCAACCTTGACATTTCCTGCTGGGAGCGAAGTTCTCTAAGGTTAGGAAAGGACTTGCACATCGTACATCCTGAATCATTTTCTTGTCCTTTGAATCCATGCACAGAGACCTTACTTAATCAGTAATAACTTTATTTCCAAATTCACTTTTACAGCAACAATCAGTGTAAATCGTTTGTTAAAACACACAATACATCATATGGACGTTCACAGACAGGAAGCTAAGCTAAGATGGTTTCATGTCCCTCCCCCCACCCTCAAAATTACCATGTAAATGGTTTGTTCATTACCTGTACATCATGGACGTTCACAGACAGGAAACTGGCCCCTAGATGGTTCATGTCCCTCCCCCACCCTCAAAGTACAGAAAAAGAAATCATGGGACTTGCGAGTGCCAGAGATTGTCCTGCCCAACACTGCAAATTCTTTTGGGGCTAAGTCACAGGAGGGGGATAAGGCGGTGATTTGGTAACCTTTCAAACTGAAGAAGAAACCGAAGTCTCAGCCACAGGTCCTTCTCCTGCAGGTGTGGCGAGCTGACCACCTCCACCTCCACCCTCATCCCCACCCAATGGCCTGACAGGGGACAAAAGACAAAAAGAGGAAGGAAGAAGGAAAACTCTCAGCCTTGCTGACTGCACGTCACTTGGCAACAGGTACAGGAAAGGTGGCAGCAGGCTCCAGCATTTGAATGGAGATGGAAGGAAGAGGGGTCTGCGGTAGGCGGGGCTGTGGGCCCGGGGACCCCCGTGAGGGGGCAGCTCTGTCTCCAGACTCCTCCCCAAGCCTCACTGCTTACCTGCCCCTGGCGTGAAGGAAGCGGGCCGGCTGGCGGGACCCCGGGACCTCTAGCAAGCATTGATTGGTCCAGAAAAGGGTTACTCAGTGGTTACGCCCTCAGAACTTCACACTGCCCATGGTAACTATCACAGGTTCCTCCTCCCTCCCCCCGGCGACAAGCAATCAGGATACAGTCTCCGCGTTGAAGTCCACGTTTAAATGAGAACCTGGTGGTGGAGGCTTGAAGGAACCAGGCACACCCAGCACAGCCACCCAGGGACGGACCCCGGACGTCGGAGGGGAACGGGGGGGGGGGGGGGGTGGTCGAGAAGTGCCAACTGGTGGTGGCAGGGGGGAGGGAAGTTGTCCTCGATGAAGAGTCACAAAGCCAGCATCCTTGCAATCTCCTGCCTCACTGACCTGGTCACCCTAAACCGTGATCTGAGCCCGTCAGTCCCACCCCGCCCCCACCTCCCGACAGGAGATCCTGGAGCCCCTCTGGGCAAGCCCTCAGGATAAAGGTAAGAACGGTCTGAACGAGGCAGCCAGAGTCCGTGGCTTGGCCGCTGCTGAGACCCCGCATCTCCTGAGCTGCAGCTCGAACCCACAGTTCCCTTCCCTTCCTCAGAACCCTTCTAAGACAGCCAGGGACTCCAAGCAGAAACAGAGCCTCACAGCAGCAGTTGTTCTGGGCCCAGATGACTCCTTGCACACGGAGCTCCAGCCTGCAAATGAAGCCGCCAGCCCTAGAAAGGCGGCCCCTGGACACCTTACCAGCCCTGAGGGGTGCCTTAAACAGTGCTTAAACCGGAGGAGAGTGGCAGAACTGGGCCTGAGGTCGCTGAATTTCTTTAAAATAGGTGATTTCCACAAAGGCTGTCTCCTCTCCCCTGTGGCAGCAGGCAGGGGCTTGTGCAAGGTCAGCGGGGTCCCCATAAGGCTCTGGGGCTGGCATCTCTGGCTTACCCCTGCTGCAGTCAGGCAAGCTGGGAGCCCCAGGGAATCCGAGGCGACCAGTCCGTCCAACCTCTGTGGCTGGAGGAAGCAGCTTGAGTGGGGAGGCCAGGCTGCCTTCCAGAAATTTTTGCAGCTTGCAGTGGGACCCCAGGCCTCTCCCGGCTGGTCCCGGGGTTCACTTTCTTGCTGTGGCCTGCAGGGGTGTGGTAGACCCTCATGGCTGCTGGGGGAATACAGCTGTGACGGAGGGGCCATCTCACAAGACCAGGCGACCTAAGATCCACCCATCTCTCTGCCCAACAAGGTCCCAGCAGGCGGCAAGAGCCATTAGCTTCTGCCCAGGATCTGTCCCAGTCCTGTGCTCTGGGCCTCCCAGCTGAAGGTTCTCCAATGTCAGAACCTGGTCCCAGATGCACCCCGGAAGCACAGATCAGGAAGGTTGTGACGGGTGAGAGCCACCACTGACCACCGGGCCAAGCCCCGTGTGGAGGAGGGTATCTAGGACCCCATTGGTGGGTTGAAACCTCTTCACAAGCATTTCGAATACATCGTCCTTTTTTTTTTTTTAACACTAAATTATCAAAAGTCCACTCTGGTGAATCCAAGCATAAACAGACAAATCGAACTACAACGCGACAAATTTTGAGCCGGGGAGAAAATTGACGTCTATGTATATGTTCAGCTGCTCAGCAGAACAGACAACACACTGCTTCCAGCTGGGTGGGGGGGGGGGGGGGGGTGGCCGGGGGGGGGTGGAAGAACCATTTCCGAGGAAGTGCTCCCTCCAGTGGGGCTGGCCTTTGGGGGCCCTGGGAGGGGGAGGCTTGAGCAGGGGAATCCACAGGCCTGGTGGAATGGGGCACAGGTGTGGCCCTGCCCCAAGGGGAGGCATACCTGCCTGACCTGCTGCCACCTCTGGACCCAGGGCCAGGCCAGCCTGCTGCCAGTTCAGCTCTCAGGAAGGGACCAGGCAGCCTTCTGGGAGGAAGAGCTCAAGTAGAAACAAGGGAGCCAAAACATCCCGGGTCATTGCTGAGCCCACCCTGTCAGGAAGGAGAGGTGGGGGAGCAAGGGAGGAATAAAGTCATCGAGTTCATTGTGAGAGACACTTTACCGGTTGGGTGAGTTATAACTTAATAAAAGGACCGAGATCTCACCTTGTGCCTAGGTTTTTGCCAGCCGCTCAGACACCTTTGTTGAGAGCAGGTGCCTCCTGCTCTGCGTCTGGTTTCTTGAATCCAGTGCTAGAAAGAAGGCATTAGTGAGAGGAACTTTCAGGACAGTGTGACATCATGAGGGGACAGGTGACAGGCTCCATGCACAGCAGACACATGGGCATGGTGGCGGGAGGGAGGACAGGTGGCTGCTGCGGTGGCCGCGGGAAGGACAGGAGGCTCAGGGACCTCCCAGACCCCAGCACACTCCCAGGGATGCCAGAGGCCCAGGCTTGGGAACAAGCTGGGATGCCCCAAAACGCGAGTCTTACAAAGAGAACTGGTTTAGCCCTAAAGTCAGAACTGTGGGAGGTGGCCAAAAATGGTGGCTGCAGTTCCAGCAGAACTCTCAATAAAACAGGGTTTTCATGGGGCCCCCACCTGCTGAGGGGAGGAGAAGAGGCCAGGCTGGGGACGTCCAGGTCAGTCTTCTCCGAGGGGGAGGCGATCACAGGATTTGCCCCCTCATCAGCAGAGCCACCTCCCTCAGCCAGACCTTTCTCCCACGGGCCGCCCGCGGGGACAGTGGCACCTGCCTGCCCAGCAGGGGACCCCACCCCAGCACAGAGGAGGCAGCCTGGCATGGCAGTGTGGCCCGGCCCGGTCTGCCCTTCCCGCTGTCCTTCCAGAGCGAAGGCAGTTGCGCCCCCCCCATCACCCACTCCCACACTGTCCCTTCTGCCCTCTCCCTCCCCCCT